ATGCACCATTTTTTCTTTGCCTCATTACTATCCGTCCATGATTTTCTTTGTTCATTAAATGGCTCAACATGCAATCTTGCATGATTTCAACAAAGCAATCCTAGCCCACAACTAGCTAGGTTGGTGAAGCAAACTTCCACACAAAAAGTCCATGGGTTCACAAATGGGGTTGGACTTTCTTCCAACAATCTCCCCCTCCAACCCTATGGGAGGAGAAACCAACCATGACTCCATACACTTCAACATTCCATAATTTTGCTCCCCCTTTTCATGAACACTTCATCATGCTCTCCTATTTTTGAGAGCTTCTTCCTAGTATAGAATAGGACAAACCTACACTAGGAGCATTGCAGAAATTAATTTTGAACCAAGATATGATCCGAGGGAAAATCGTACCTCCTCGAACCATCATCAGACACTACTTCATTGTTGAAGCTCACCTTCTTCTTGGTTTTATTAATTTCCTTGCCATCTACCAAGATCCTTTTAGGCTTCCACACCATCTTCCTCATGGTCTTGTTAAGCCCTCTCTCGGGATGTTGCTCAAGCACATAGATGTTGTGCTTGTTCTTCCTTCCACGCAAGACAAGTCTTCCACCTTTGTAGACCTTGCAACATTCTTGCTTTCCGACCTACTTGCACCCTCGTGTTGTCAACTCACTCAAAGCAATAATGTTGCTTGAACACTTGGGCACATATCTCACATTCTTGAGAATCTTGGCTCTCCCATTGTGAACATTGAGACAAACTTTTCCTATGCCTTCAATATTCACCTTCTCGCCGGTAGCCACCGTTATTTTGCCAAGCTCCCCCTGAATCAAACTCCCAAATTCTGAAGGATTATTGCACACATGCATGGTTGCAGTGGAGTCCAAAATCCATCTTTGATTGTTTTGCTCCACCTCAGGATCACACTCTTCACAAGCTAATACTTCAACCACATTTTCTTCAACAATATTAGCCTCTTCCTTGCCCTTGGTTTCTTGACTTTTCATCAATATTTTCATATTAGAAAAGTCCTCCTTAACCTTCGGGCATTTATACTGTTTGTGACCCAACTCACCACAATAAAAATACTGCACTTCACCATAATCCTTCTTAGGTCTGGATTTTGACCTTTCTCGATTTCCTCCACCTCCACGTCCATTGGATCTTCCCCGAGAGGCTCCATCACCAAAGCATTAGTTTGATTGGCACCATCATCCTCCCCAAGAAACTTATCATTCTCCAACAACATGGATGTGAAATCTTTCATCACCAAAGTAGTCTTACCCACTAGCATACTCTGCACTAGGGACTTGTAAGATTTTGGCAAGGATGCAAGTAAAAGCAAAGCTTTTTCCTCTTCTTTTAGAACATCCCCGGCATTCACTACTTGTGTTACCATCATGTTGAAATTAGATAAGTGCCTATGAATATTAGTGCCTTCTGCCATCTTCAATTGATATAGCTCCATCTTTAAACACAATCAATTGGTTAAAGATTTTGAAGCATATATCTCTTCAAGCTTTCTCCACATGCCTATTGGAGTAGTCTCTGAAAGGACGTTGTATTTTACCTCCGGTGCAAGCGCCAACCGAATTTGACTTGCTGCCTTCTTTTGGATAGTACTCCAATCACTATCCCTCACCTCAGCTGGCTTGGTCTCTTCTAAAGCTACATCAAGTCCTTGACAAGTAAGGACATCCTTCACAGTGCTTTGCCATAGAGCAAAGTCATTCTTGCCATCAAATAGCTCAATTGAATACTTCATGGCTTTAGTTTGCATTTTGCCACAACAACAGGAGCTCTATCAATAGCTCTGATACCACTTGTTGGGAATTTCGAGCACCACAATTCCACACAAACGAAAGCGATAAAGAAATTGAGACAACAATTTAACGCGGTTCGACTTGTACACCTCTCAACAAGTCTACGTCCACGGAAAAGAGAGAAATAAATCCACTATTAAGAAAAAAGAGTACAATAATTTGGAAGTTCTCTCACTTAAGAAGCTCTCAA